AAAATTATAAATATATATTATATGTGTGTAGATAATTAAATTATAGAAATTTTTAGCATTTCAGAATACATAATTGAACATATACATAATTCATTATAATCTATTAAATATGTATAACAATTCATATAGTACGTGTTAATTGTGTAAAATTTCTTAGTAGATCTATGTATTACTGAATTAGATTTATATTTTTTTTCAAAGTATTAAAAATATTGTTTTAGAATAAATATAGTTACATTTTTTTTTTCAATAAGTAAATCAAACATTTTATTTCTAGGTTGGATGCAATTAATAATTTTAATATATAATCTAACTGGAGCAAATATCAAAACATCAATTGCAAATAATGTTCAAATAATGATATCTGCATATCTATTTCTTACGGGCTATGGTCATTTTTATTACATGTGGCATAGAAGTGATGCAGGACTTACTCGTTACTTTCAGGTATAACATTTAATTTCCTGATTGTATTTATAAAATCCTCATTAATCATTTATTTTTTCCTATTACACTCCTTTATCATTCTCTGGTCTTGTGTGAATTTTATACTACTGGACGGAGAACTGATAAAGGTGAGTGATATGGAACAAATGTTTTAATTGTATTACAATTAAATATTCAATGGACTTGGTATAATATTTTATTCTTTTTCTTTTGGAAGTATATAGTTTTTAAGCATATTTTGTTATGGTTGAGATATTTTAATTGTTGTCAAAATTTCAATAAAAATGATAAAATTAATTCTGAATGAGTAACACGCAGGGGTTAAAGTGGGGGGGGGGACGCAGGAGGACTCAGTCACCTTACCTCTGACGGTGGTTAAAAAGCGTCCCCTTTAACAAATTAGGATTTTATACATTAGACATTATACATAAAATTATATATGGAACGCTTAAAACTTTTTGAAAACATTAGTCCCCTTTGGAATTTTTTCCCACTTTAACCTCTGGTAACAAGAGTCTATAAAGTCTGAAAATTTATTTGCAATATTGTAGGTTTTGAGTGTCCTCGTTGGCCACCATAATTGATATGTTAAATTTAAATTGAATGGTAATTATTTTATTGCATAWGAATAATATTTCTTATAGTGGAGATAAAATGTTGGCCTCTATTTCTAAATTTATTTTATAATTTATCTATATATATTATTATAAGAAAATTGAACTAATTTTTGATAAAAATATCAGATATGTTATTAAAATAATAATTATAATATTTTATTTATATATTATTATTGTTACTTAAGACTTTACATAAACTAACCTTAAAAAGGTGTAAATTACAATTTTTCTTAACTTTAATTTGTGTTTACCCATTATCAATATCACAAAACTGATCTGAATTTCAAATGGATATCAATGATGTCATACATACAACTTAAAAATGTGGCACACATTAATTGGTTTTTTACATGTAGTTTGATTGTTACTACATTTTAAAAACACACTCAAACATGACAATCAAATTTTACTGTAAAAAATGTGTTATTAATTCAAAATATATCATACATTATTTTAATATAAGTATTTTCTGTCATTTGATATTGGTTTTATAGATTGACATCAACAATAACACCTACCTATTGGCATGGGCGCAACTAGGGGAGGGGGCTTGGGAGTGCTTAGCACTCCCAAAATCAAAATTAGCACTCCCAAATTTTCTGTACCGATTTTTTACATTATCGGTGACAGTAACACTTCTGATTTTAAAACAAGGGGGGGGGTTCTCGTATTGTGCTTTAGATTTTAGCACTCCCATAAATTTTACCCTAGTTGCGCCCATGCCTATTGGTATGTTTATAAATTAATATTGGACATAATATAAGCTAGCACCTGTACCTTAACAACATAAATAATATTAAAATAAAAATATTTTTATAATTCAAAATTTAAAACTAATATTGTCGCACAGTCTTAATATCTTATTATTTTATTCTACCATCATTAAACTGGTCATACCAGTCTATAATAATTATTTAATAAAATATCATTGATTATTTATTTTTCTTAAATAATTATTTAAGATCTAAAAAAAACAAAAACTATTTTACATTTTATTTTAACAATCTAAACTACTACCTTAAACATAATTGTATTGCACTAAAAGTATTTATTTTAAATTTTCATATTGAATCGTTAT